TAAGGTAAACGTCGTATTTTAGACCGTTTGAAAAAAGAATTTGCAAAGGGCTTTAAAAAAAGATAAAATCTTTTCCCTGCCAAATCTTGATATAAAACAGCTCGACTCAGGGCAGCCCCGGGGGAATGAGGAGGGTGGGTCCAGCGCCCAGCCTGGGCCTCCGTGGGACACGCACGGCTTGTCGCAGGGACGCGGGAAGATCCCTGTCCCCTGTTTTCATACAGACCCTGACACTCCTCTGCCTGGCTCAGCAGGAGCCTTTAACAGTTCAGGGCAACAGGTGCTTTATTTGTAGAAATGAGAAGACGACTTCTCTAACTTCTAGAAACCGCTTTTAGGTCTAACTGAAATTCCTGGAATTATCCCAGATGCAGAAAGTGGCTGGATTGTTCAAGAGCCCTCTGCGCCCTCCGATCCCTCTTCACCCCACGGACGCGCTGTGGCTGCCCCAGAGCACCCGGGACAGGCGGGCCACTGTCTGGAGGAAGCGGGACTCCTCATTCCTGGCACTCCGTCGGGGGAATCGAGGCGCCCTCCCAAACGGGGAAGGGAGGACAGAGCTTGCCGTTCTCTCTCTCACGGGCCAAAGCCGTCATATAACTTGTTATCACAATGACATTCTCACGTGATCTGAAATTGCCTATGAAGATACCCGCTTGAAGCGCAGAGTTGAGGAAATTCTTTGTTTCCCGTGACCTTCTCAAGAGCAATGGGCCATCGTGTGAATCATGCTGACAGACGTGGCATTCAGAGTGTCCATGTGCACAAGGAAAGACCAAAGTCATTTCATGCCAAATACCTCGAGTGTCTTACTGCAGGCTTTTCCCATTGACATTTTCAAATAGCCGTCACGGCATTTATCTCGTTTCCTTAGTAACTAGCTCAATCCCATTCAAGGACTGTGCGGTGGATACTGTCCTTTTGCCTTTGACATTCTTGCTCCCAAATGGCAGAAATGCTTCCCATGCATTTCCAGAATTTACTGCACCTTCCCGTCCCTGTCCCAGCAGGCCGGGGGACATCTTCCTTTTCTCCTTAAAATTCTAGGGGGGCCTGCTTTTTCTTTCATTTCCCCTTCTGACCTTCTCTCATTTTTTTCTGGTTCTCTCTTCCTGTTTTCACTTTTTCTTCATTTCTTTCCTCCCTCCTATTAGCAATTCCAAATACGAGTCTGTGCTCCCTGGTTGACGCTGTGCCCTACCGAGGACACATACCATAAAAATTAAGAGACGCAGCGATCCTAAAGCAGGTATCAGACTGGGAGGGTGCGGGAGCGCTCAAGGCACCCCGCCCAGGCCTGCCTGCTCCCTGTGACAGCTTATGCTTGACCTGGGACCCGAAAATACTGTGGGGAAGAAATATCAGGGGACAGGAGCATAGGAGAGAGAGAGGGTCAAAGGTCATTATTTAAGATTCCTAAAACATAAAGAAAAGAAGTAGCGCCTACAGTGGAGGTGGGAGGGACTTTCAGAGAAAGGCGACATGAAGTCTAAAGAACGAGGCACATTCTGGGGTTCAGTTGTCATGGACACATGGGCTCTGTGCTGTCTCCACAGTGAGGATTTAGACTTGACCTAGGCTCTGAAGGAAAGGATTTTTTTTTTTTTTTAAATGGAAGGACCCTGTAGCTACTAGTCGTCTTTGTAATAATATTCTCAGAAAATCATCTTTACTTAATTTAAATACGTACATTTGAAATTGCAGAAAATTAACTTGTAAAAAGATGAAGAACAGGGGCAGTGGCCTTAAAATGATGGGAAATAAATGCCATGACTTTCACAATAATATTGTTCTCAGGTTGGACAAAGCAGTGTGTGCTGAATACACGTGAATTTTTTTTCTCCTTTGAAAAGTAGGTACACATTGCATTTGTAAAGTTAAGCATTTTTGATGCAGGCAATTGCGAAGTCTCATCCAGCTACTTGTTCTTTCGTGAATTTAAATGAAGTGCTTAGGGGTGTCTCACATCCTTTCTATCAATCAGCACAGTTACGGATACGGGCGTGCACGTGTGGCTCGTCAAGCCGACTCGTGATGAGCCCGGGTCAGCGAGTTCACGGCCACGTCCAGCATCCGGACCTCTGTGCTCAGGTAACGTGGACTCCAGGCCCGATACCTACCCGAGGCCAATAACCAGGACTCTAGAGGGCACGGTGCGAGAAGGCAGGTTCTGCTCGGACAGTCCGTCTGGGTGACATGCACAAGTACATGGGCATTTGGCCGTGGTTTGGGAGCAGGGCACAGAGTCTTAACTTTTGCTTTATGAAAATTGCTTGGTGGTGTTTTTTCAAGATACTCCTTTTTTCAACAGCTGCAAGAAGTTTTCCGAAGTTTCCATGTGTGATACAATTTCAGTGCTTTGAGCTATCTACACTCGTTAGAACTTAAGGAGTAGAATTGGAATGATACTATTAGGGGAGACAGATATTTTACTTACAATCTTTACATAGAAACAATTTTACAAGATTAATACTTCCTCTTATTGGGTCACTAATCTGAAGAATGCGGCTTCCCTGAAGGTGGTAAAAATGTTCTGTTTTTTCTCTTTTCCTCTCTGTATGTTTTCTAGCACAGAGTCTGTAACGTCAGAGGAGGAACGTTGTACACAAATTTAATTCAACCCTCTCCTTCCAGAGATGAAGTTAGACTCAGCAGTGGAGTTGGGACCAAGAACCTGGCCAGTCCATCCCAGCCCGGTGAGCCTTCTGCCTCTGTGTGCTTTCCTAAGCCCTGGGTTTTTCTATGGAATGAAGAGAGAAGAGCATGTGAACCTTTGGTTTCCTAAAGATTTTCAAACCATCCAACTGCACTGACTGCGCAAGTTAACAGAGAACTACTCCCCTCAAAAAATATCCAATATACAAAAAAATTCAAGAGCAGATAAACCAGCAACCACTCTATAAAGTTAAGTATCACAGCTTTCCTCAGTTTTCTGGGTGCACTACATGCATTTTTAGGATACAGTAATTGAATTGACTGAGAACTTTCTGGAATTCATATGAAACTCAGACACATCGATGCTCTCTCTTCTACTGTAACACAGCGATTTACTCTTTTTATGCCATTCTCACTTGCCATTCAAAAGGTGAAGTCCCCGAACAGCATCCTTTGAGAAACCTGCAGGGAAAGCCCGCACAGAAAGGCGCTCCCCTGGCACGTGAGTATGGGGACTCCACGCGTAAGGCGCCCGTCCGTGACCTTTGGCACCATGCCCACACAGCTGCTGTTGCCTCAGCTCTCCTTGCTGTGTCTGCTTCTTTTCTCCTAGGCAGCGGCACGCTCCTTCGGAGCAGGGAATCTGCAGGAAGGAAGACCAGAGAGCGCGCCCCTGCCTGCTCCCCTTGCACGCTGGGAAGCCGGCAAAGGCTGGCTGCGGTCACCACTTACACTGCCGTTTGGAGTTCGTGCGTGGATGGAGAATCAAGCGATTTCTAGATATTCTAAGGCTGGAATCTGTTTCACTCAATCCATTAGCCAATGGCAAAACCCCTCTCTACAAGAAAGTCTGGAAGGTAGATCTTAGACAACTGCGTACCAAAATATTTTTTTTCCCTTGAGTCTTTTCTACCTGGTATACAGCATTAGGTTTATAGACATAAAACTCTGTTTACAAACTTTCCAAGGTGCTAATACAGTATGTGGAGCTGCGAATTTCTACTGTTTTCTCATCTTTACCCTGCAGATGGGCTGGATTGGGATCTGGAAGGTCTCAGAGAGTGGATGGGCGTTTTCACTGTGTATTTTAGCTTTTTGCTGAATCAGCCTTGCTAATACTTTACATAATTGTCAAGCTTTATCTCCAGGCCATATTTTAAAGTGGTACCACAAAATTTTGATTATTGCCATAGAACGCGGGGAGTTTTTATGGTCCACATAAAATTGTCTGCAAGCATCTCTGGCAATGTGTTGTCTTTGTCCGCCTTACTTTTGCTTCTGACCAAAATTATTACATCTCCAGGGACAAATTAAATGTTTTCTTTTTTTTTTTTCTGGCATGCTTCCTGCTTTAATATTTGGCTGAGTGATTTTTTTTGGCTTACCCATATCTTCTGAGAAACTAAGTGTCAACACATACTTTAGATGACTTTTAAGTTGATAACTTTTAACAGTTGTTGTATCAGGTTCTAATAGTCCTTACATAGACTCAGGGGCTCACTCCAAACTTAGCTTTTTAAAAACAAAATTAGCTGAAAAGTTCATGGAATTTCAAAATGTATGAAAACTAAAAATGATGGACCAGACCCCAAGGGATCGCACACCCCGGTGAAGACGCTGCATGCGCCCTGGGCGCCGACGGGCTCAGTCACGTGCTCGCACTAAGCAGGCTGTCTTGGAAGACGGTATGTTCTGGACGGATTCGTTTGGTTCTAAGTTCAAGAGTATCGTGTGCTAAAATGTTTTTAATCATTATATATTAAGAGGGAACGTTAAATAAAATATAAGAGCAACTGCGACCCCTGGGGAACTTCCTTTTGCGGGGTCACCCCTTTTCCTAGCGGTCCCTGTCGGACCCCTGGCCAGACAGCAGGGAACGGGGAGCAGGCGCATGTTCCAGGGCAGCACGTTCTGCTTCCAGGGTAAGATGGCAATGGGCTCACCTGAGCGGCTTAGAATACAATTTTCATTTTATTTTAAACATAGTTTGCATGATATAAAAATATTGATCACAGTGAGCTTTACCAATTGTTATTGCAATAAAAATGGATGCAGAAACAATATTTTTAGTGGAAATAAATTATATAGTCATTATTTCTTTTTTAAAACCATCAGAGAAAAAAAAACCTCGGCTGTTCGGTCCTTGGCAGAAAACCAGTGTTTACAAGGGGTCTTTGGCAGGTGAGTCCGAGACCGTCCCGCGCCGGTGTCCCTGCGGTTCAGGAATGCCCGAACCTGTCTTTGCCACCACCGTCCCGCAAAGGTCTCTCTGTCCCCAGGCGGTTCTACAGGGGCAGCACAGCTTTCCACGGCAGAAACACGCGGGGCTGGAGAGCAGTCCGACCTCAGTTCGCGTGCGGTCTTTTCCAGTACGTGGGGACACAGCGGCACACCTCTTCGCTGAACGCGAGTCCCGGCTCACAATGCCTCAGCCGGTTGGTGCACGGCCGTCTGTAACAACTAGGAGAACGAAGAGACGCACGCTTTTGTTAAAGACCAAGGCAAGGGAAGCGAACACACTTTTGTGGTTTTCTGAATTTTAAACAAGAACGAACTTACTCATCTTGTCATACAACTGTCCTTAGGTTTATAGCTTTGTACATTGTTAGAGCTCATGCTTACAGTCACCCAGCTGAAGAGGAATGGGAACCACCTCCCACCCCCAAATGTCTCGGTTGCTCATATAACAAATGGGAGAATGAGAAGCTGTCAGCGTTAGTGCTTTTGAAGTGCTTTCTGCTTCCTAAAAGAAACAGAAACGTCAGAAGCATCCACTCAAGGTCTGCTTGTTTGGCGTGGTCACGTAAGTGAGGTGGCCTTCACTAGTGCCTGAGATTTGCAGAGAGACTGAAGGGACCCAGCTGTCCCTTCTCCACCTGGGCTCCATGTGCAAAGGGAGGGACCAGGTCGCCGTGGGTCCCCTCCTCCTCTCCTTGACTTCCAGTTTCTGGTCATGGTGAAGAATAAATGATCAAGCAACCAGGCGCATCCAAAGCCCTGTTGCTCTGAGGGATGGGAGCCTTCTTTGAAGATGATTTTTTTTTTTTTTTTGAGCATGCGTTTGCTTAACATGTGGGAACAGGAAGGGGTGTCCAAGGAAAAATGCAAATGACCTGACGTGAAAATTCAAAATGCACTACAGAAAACCTACAAATGTGATCTATAATTTCATTTCTTGTGCTTTAGAAAAGAAAGCGTTTCTAGTTAAAATGTCATTTTTTTTACTTCTAAATATAAATGCAATATTAGAAGACCACTGTTATTCCTTCACTAAAAAAATACAATTCTCAATGAGCAATGAAAGTTGCTGATTAAGGCAATGGGCCAAAGGATATATACTCTGTCCACCACGATTCTGGAATAAGTACGAAGAAAAAAACGAGTATAAATATTTTCAAAAATAAATTATTTCTTTGCTTCAATATAAACACAAAACCTGGAATTACATACTTAGAAAAATGAACATAGGGAAAGTAGCAGTAGAGGGGAAATCTTTAGGAAACAATGTATGTAAGATTAGGAGAAATACAATGATGGAAATCTTTTCTACTAAGTTAATATAAGAATTCAAGAAAATTATGATTGCTGGTTAGACCACATAAGCACAAAAATTTCAGGCTTTTCAATATATATTAACTAGGTTCACACAAAAGTTTTCAATATACAAAATGATTTAATATGATTTAATATCTATATTCTGAATTTTTGAAATATCCTGGTAGTTAGATTAGGGATATGCAAGTAAAATTGCAATAGGGTTATTGCTTAAACTGGTCTAAAGAGAAAACAATGGCTCCCTATAAGGTATTCTGACAATGAAAAAAAGTCATCAACGACATATGTAGAGTCACCGAAATCTCCTTATGTAGCAGCTAAAATGCATAGTGTAGGCAGATCATCAGAAATATAAACCAAGATGAGAGCACAAAACTTCTGAGAATCAAAAAGATGGGTCCTTTATTGACTGAGGAAAAGAGAACGATGAACGTGAATGCAGATCCTAAATCATAAATGACTGAAATGGCAGTATCGAGTCCTGTGACTTGTCACCCCTTGAAAGAGTGTTATCACCGTCTTTAAAGAGTGGATGAAAGAGAAGAAGAGGAGCCAGGGACATTGAGGAAGAAGAAACATCTGGACACCCAAAGGCACCAGGAGAGGACTACGCGATGTCAGTGGAACGACAGAGGAGAGCTTAAGAAAGGCTACAGAAAGGCCAGCTTCCACAGAGGCCAAGCTGTCCATTGGAACTGGCAATAAAGAGTCTGTGGATGCTATAAAGAGAAGTTTACCGTGGAATTCTAGGGCGTAACCCCATCACAGAGGGTGGAGAAATTAGAGAGGAAAGAGGTGAATGAATGGGTGCTTATCAGAGGGGCAGGAGGTGGAGGTCATATATACGGTGACAGCAAGAGACTAGACAATGGGTGACAAGCACACAGTGCACCGTTCTGGTGATATATTGCAATACTGTAGACTTGAAACTTAACGTACTCTGATTAGCTAATGGCACCCCATCACTTTAAAAATAAAACAGCTTTTGAAAAGAAAGAGGTAAACGCAAATGTCTCGCAGCAACTCGGGAAACAAGGACAGACCTTGGTTGCTCAAGTGTAGTCTGCGTCACAGGGAGATGCTGGTAAGATAGAAGGCGTTAGGAGACGTTTATAAATTGAGGGTAAAGGGCAGCGGCATGAAGGTGTTAAAGGTCAGGAAGAGAGAGGCGAGGCTGGCGGAGGCGCGCTGAAGGGACGGGGGAGGAGATGGCCAAGGGCGGATCTGCCTTCCTCAGCCGACCACCTTGCTCTCAGGTCAGGGAGGAAGAAGCTCAGGACCCACATCGAAAGGGTTTGGGTCCGAAAGCCTCATTTTTTTTTTCTTGGTGAAGAAGGGAGTAAAATTGAGGTTCAGGGAATGATTCCTGAGTAAACTTAAACAGCACATTAATTTATTTATCTGATTCCATTAAAAGCTTTGCTTACATATTTTTATGCTTAGATGCAGTTCTACAGTAAGGGGTGCTGTCCTGCCCTTTATAAATTTGGACAGAATCGTCTGCTCTTAGAACGGTTGTCCTACATCACATCTGATGGGATCTTAATTTTGGTGGAGGCTGAGGTACACTGCCTGGCTGTATTTGAAAATGCCCACAGGTGACTGTCCTATGCCTCTGTCCTCCAACTCGAGTTGAGAGCCCCAGCCTTAGCCTCCGGGACACGGCCTGAGGGTGCACCTGAGCTCAGATCTGGTTTGGGTTCCCAGAGCTCCTTCCTTGTCTTCTGGGAGCAAACACAGTCTCATGAAAGTTTGGCACTGGTGGGAAAATACCAGAATTCGTCTTCCAGAAGTCACTGGCTTCATGTTAAGAACAGGTCTCTACTCATTATGTATTTTTGTCTTTATTTTCTTGGCTAATCACGAACATACATTGATCCACATGAAATTTAGACAGTATTTATAAATTTCCAAAACAATATAATTGATTTTTAATTTCCCTCCTTATCCAAAACATTAGCACTCTTCCATCAAACGAGATGGAAGTTATGTTTAGATACACAAGCAACTGCTATTTGGGTTAAGAAAGTGGCTCTTAGTTGAGTAAACTATTTCCAGGAAGAGACATAAATACAATTTTTGAAGATTTCTTACCTGCATGTTTGATGTTGAAACTTCTTTCCTTTTAAGAAGCATTTCTGTGGGTTTTCTGTACATTCACAGGCGCATTTCGCAGGGTTGAGGGGCTGGTTTCTCGGGCAGGTTCTTTTACACACGCACTGACAGGTGGTTTCATCAAATTCTCTGTTGGGCCCACACGAGGTGGGGAAAAGTTTGTTTTTACAGACACACTGGCATGAGTCCCTGTCCAGTTCCCTGTGGGGTCCGCAGCTGGAAGGCCGAAGCCCCTCTTTGCAGACACACTGACAAGTCTCTTCATCCAGCTCCTTGTTGGGTCCACAGATGCCATGAAATTCGTCCGCGGAGTCTAGACAAACACAGGTGGGACACCTTACAATACCTCACTCGGTGCTGGGTGTGGTGTGAAGCAGCTAAAAGCAGTGAAAAGTGCCTCCTTGCCCATGTTTTCTGTTACAGGGCTGCGCGCAGACATGGGCATGTTCCCTCACAAAGGAGCTCAACCTAATATCAATATGAGGCCACAAAGGTCCTATCACATGGAGGCTGAACTCGGTAAGACGACCTCTATATCGTGCATGTGGCCCAAACATTAAAATGTCTGTTAATCGCCATAGAGACCCATGGCATTTAGTCTTAAAACACACCATTCTGCTTACCGTCTCCAGCGCTAGAGGCAAAAATAAAGTCTTCCTGAGCAAGGCACCTGCAGGCGTGGGTGCTCCACGTGTGATTTGCCGGGCATGTCTTGTTGGCGGCCAGGCACCTGGGGGAGACACAGGCGGGCCAGCATTAGTGTGACCGGCAGGTAGAAGCGAGAACCTCTTCTCTCACCCACATGCCACAACACCAGCGCCCGCTAGTACAAGAAGCTCCAAAATGATGTGCGAACAGATGAAACGAAGCATGCTGTTCCCTCTCGGGGTGCCTCCACCCAGACCTGCCATCAGATTCTAATCCCCGAGGCGACCACCGTCCGTGGAGTGGCATTAGACCACTCCAGACATCAGCCTTTGAAGGCAAATACATTATCCGTACAATCACATAGGGCTCCAGTTTGTGGGAACAGGGGATGAAGCTTTCCATATTACGCCGAGATTTCCTTTTCCGCTAAACAATACAGTATGACATCTTTGTATGTCATTTTGTGAAGTTCTGCTCCATTCTTTGTAGTGGTTGCAACGGTCCATAAAATGGATTATTATTTATTTTATTAGTCTCCTGTTGGTGGTGATTGAAGTTGCTTCCAACTTAGCTTTTTCAAAGAATTCTATAGGAAACATTCTTATACAGGTAACTTTACTGACTCTTTTTCTGAAGCACAGATGCCATAACTGTCAAGGTCCATTAATAAAAAATTCCCACTCGACATCCACTGGAGAAGTATCAAAGACCATGGTTTTTGTTATTCTAATCCCTCCCTTCCTTCCTTGTTCTAGTAAAAAGTAAACAGAATGCAGTTTTTTCCATAGCTTTTCAATTATGGTTTAAGTGTTTCTTTTTGGAAATAGAAGAAAATAAGTGTGTAAGTATGTGTGCATACATGTAGTATGTATGCATGCATGTAGTATGTATGCATGCCTATATTTTACTTCATTCTATTACACAGAAAATATCATCCTTATGTGCTGTTCTAAGCCTTTATTTTTTGCTTAACAATGTTTCCTGGAGAATATTATACTTTCATAATAATTTTTGGTATTCCTAAGAACAGGTCTCTACTCATTATGTATTTTTGTCTTTATTTTCTTGGCTAATCACGAACATACATTGATCCACATGAAATTTAGACAGTATTTATAAATTTCCAAAACAATATAATTGATTTTTAATTTCCCTCCTTATCCAAAACATTAGCACTCCTCCATCAAATGAGATGGAAGTTATGTTTAGATACACAATAGAAGTGAAATTAACCCTGGCTGGATCAAACTCCTATCGCTCTTCTATAAATGGAAGTAAATCGATTGTGGCCATGTTGCCTCTGTAGTGACTTGATTTAAGTCACACACTTGCATGCCAATGTGAGGTGGGCACAGCGGCGTGGCGGGCGCAGTCAGAAAGGCCTCTTTCGCTTCGCCAGCTTTGTGTGATTGATGCTGTCATTGCCTAAGCCAGTGTTTTCCCTGCTGCCAGTTGTGACCCAGGAGCGGATTGTAAAATCAATACATGAGTTAGGAAATGCATTTTTTTAAAGGTAAAAGAATGGCATTTAATAAAACAAATTATTAGCGTACATGTGATATTGTTTTCGGTAATCTTATTTCAGTTATATATGCATATAAATACTTTAATAATAATATACATGGAAAATATGTGTGTAAATATGAACATACAACCCCTTACACATACAACCCCCCTTCTCCCATGTGTGTGCTGCAGTATGTGTCTCTGTGGGGGCAACGCCAAACGTGTTTGTCTATGGTCACGGTCAGAAAGGGAACAGAGCCCTCTACCTAACCTACTGAAGTGGAGGAAAAGAGGGTCAAGAATCACCGGATTCACCAGGCCAAGTGGGCTGCTGAGCGGTGAGACTCCCAGGCGCAGGGAGGTGTCTGCATGTGCCTGTGCTGAAGTTCCAAATGTGGACACAGCTGTTCGTCCGAAGGAGGTAGGAAAATAAAACAATTTCCCGCCATGCAGTCAGGAAAAGTCATATTCTTCTCTAGAATACTTCAATGTCTTCAAAAATATAAATGTAAAAGTATAGACTCTGTATAGAAACAAATGTAGGAATAACTGTAAGACTATACTTCTGGAAATGCCCTACAAAGCAAGGTATCTAGTTTTACAGAATGAAATAATAATTTCATATAATCTGGCTATACTAACTCTAGTTTTTGCACTTCATGTTCAATAAAAAATATAACTTTCAGAATAACAATTTTGTTATATATTAAACACGGTGCCCTCTTAGCTTGCTTATTGCTAATTATGGTTTGCTTAAGGTAAACTAAATATTTTAATTTTTAATATTTTTAAAACTTTAATTAAATTTCTAGAAAAATAAGCCTTTAGAAACTGCCAAAAATAAGAAACCACTACTCATCAACATTAACACATATTTCAAAGTTGAAATTTGAAATCCTGCTATATGCCATTCAATTAGAGAAACATATATTTGAATGGAGAGCATTTTCATAATTACCTAGTGGAGCTCTCTGCTCTAAATGTGAGTCACAAGTTCTAAGCATTTCAAGCTTCTCGTGAAAAAATAGGAGACACACTTTCCAAAATATTGTCATTTTAGAACGGAAGGAAATGTTTTCACGGTGGAGAGAAGATTTTGCACAACCCTATCCCACCTCTTATAATCTCCAAAGCACTTTTATCCTATTAAAATTTTGTTATGAATATTGATGTGTAACATATTAAAATGTTTACAAATTAGTTATTTTGTATAAGGTATTTGTAAAGCACTGATTCAAAGACACATTTTGTCTGGAAAGCAGAGCAGATTCTACAACTATCAGTAAAATAGACGTGTGCTGAGAATTGTGTGTAAATAAATTGACTTTCCCACTTTCTCTTTCCCACTCACAAACCCACAGACGGAACCATAGCCCAGCCTATAATTCACATGAAGGACAGAGATGTTTTGCTAAGAATCATTTCAATAATTATCTTGAAACTTCACTAGGCTGACTTGATAGTTATTGCTATTTACTTACAATTAGAGAACAAAAATGTAAGGATACACGTATGTGTTAGAGAACAATGGCTTTAAGGATAAAAATCAATCTTATTTTGCCATTTATTTCCTCTTTGAAATTTTAAAAGATTAATAGGCTCCAAATATGCTCTGTTAGAATACATCGTACATTTTAGGTAATGATTACTAGCTCTTGCACTTTGAGCATTGTAGTGGGATTTTGGGGAATACTAATGTTCTTGACTCTCATCTTCTATATTTTTGGCACTGGAATTGTCTCGTACTTGGAAATGCCCTGTTTCCCCAAATCCATATTTAAGGAACAAAGACATACTACCACCTTACATTTGGCACTACTTAGAACTGAGGTGAAATGTTATCCTTTTCCCAAGACCTAAAATCTTTGTCATATAGTTCTAATTGGAAAAAAAGTTAACTGCATCTTGATTTATAGTAAAATACCATTGATTTGCCTTACTAAATATCTCATAGATCATTCCAAATGAGTGTTAACATTAATTGAATGCAAATTCAACTTGTAGCACTCACTGACTTTTTTTAAAAAGCAAATTCATTCCTTGGAGAGGAACTATGCTATCAATCGATGGCTCTCATTGGCAGCTCCTGTAGTAAGGTGTCTTCTCAACAGCCCAATAGATGCAAATTCCGCTCACCGTGTACCGTTTAGTTCCTCAGGTGGCCCACCTATTCTCAGTCTTGTTAAATATGGACCAGGATCCTGGGACATTCCTTGGAAAGCGTGTACTACCAGCTCTCTCCACTCTGCAGAGCACCTCCAAGCCTTCAGGGGGGCATCTGGTAAGAGGCTCTGCGTTCCGTTAAGAAAACCAGTGAGGGGAACTCTGACCATGTCAATTGTTTTTGATAAATATCAAAACAGAATTTTGAGTTCCTCAATGCCAGTGGTTGATGTCATCTGAACAAGCTGTGATTAGCAGTACTCCAACCTGCAGTTAGAATATTCTGGTACAGTATCAATCCAGGCCCTTTTCGCGCAAGACTGTGGTCAGAACAACGGCTGGAAGGGCAACTATAGTCTTTCATTATCACAACCACAGAGCCCTGGGGGAAATGTTTCAACGGCGTTATTCCAAAAGCTTCTGAATTGTGTTCTTACTAGACTCATGTATAGGCCTTGAATACACTCAACTACCTACACAAGTGTTGATTTGCTTATGTTTTTGCAAGAGTAGGATAGAAACTGGCTAAGAATTTTAAGAAAATAACTGGTAAATATGGTCTGATAATATGGACATTTATTAAAAACAATCATGGCTGTGTTTTGGTTGAACTTGACATTAAGCTTCACAGCATTTCTGGTCTAATAGTTCCCACCTCTGAGTAACCTTACAGACACAACCTCAGTGCAGAGGGTGAGAGGGTGCGCCGACGGACCTTCGCTGTCATGTGCTCTTTGCTGTGACTTCTGCCTGTCAATCAGCAAGCCGTAGGGATGCTAGTTGTTGCCTTTCAGGAGGCGCAGGCAAGGCGGCTGACGGCAGGCTCACCATAGTGTCGGGAGCTTCCTTTTAAAAAAATGTGTTTCAGGGCCTGCAATCTCTTACCCGAGATTGATGGTAAATCACCTCACATCAATAGGTGCTCACTGGATGGTGTTACACAAAAATGCATGAATTAAGATTGTAACCCAATTAAATTACTCCAGTCTATTCACTGTCCCCAGAATGAGCTAATTCTTTTAGGAAACGTTTAGGGACGTTAACAATGATAACCAATGCATTAACCAATAAATTTATCACTGGATAAAGTGAACTTCAATGCACTCGTCTCTCAGATGGGACATTTCACTGTCTTCCTGATGTGTAGTAGACAGCATCCCCTGTAGTATATGGTCACAGAATAAGCACGAACATTCTGTTTGTTTTTTTTATACAGTGGGATACTTGCATAGCTACTTAACGAACACACAAGACCTACAGACATCAATGTGATTAAAACATATGGCTGAGAGGAAAAGGTCGGGTCACTGAAAGTGTTCGTCACTCAAAGCCGTCCTATGCAATCTCTTGTGGCATGTTAACGCATCCATAGGCCGTAAGCCTAGAAAAGCATGGATGGAAACAGTTCAGTTTCAGAGTGGTGATTACTTCTGGCAGAGGGGGACCAAGAATGGTGACTTGGAAGAGACTGGCAGCTGTCAGAGTGGCAGTGGGGGGCGCTGGCTGAAAGGAGGTGCAGGGATTAGCCCAAGAACATGTATGTTTAACCCATGGACTCAGACGTGAGTGTGGTGACGGCCGGAGGGAAGCGGGGGAGGGTGAGGAGGAAGGGGACAAAGCGGGGGAGAGGGGGCATCTGCAATAGTGTCAACAATAAAAATAAAGTGAAAAAAAGAATGGTGATGTGGTCCTTGGGGTTGTACCTTAGGCAAATATGGAAAAAAAAATGTTAAATTTTGAATTAGGGAAGACAGATATGCCATTTTTGTTTTTGTTGTCCTTTAACAAACGTTTGAAATGTTTTAAGTAAGTTAAAAATGCAGTAATGACGGCAACCCCAAAGGAATGAACTGACTGAAAATCTAGTCTGGATCTCTGAAGTGCTACACTTTACTTGTGTGATGTGGGAGGAAGTTACTCAACCCTATGACTCAGTTTCTCAGATGTCTTTCCAAATCAATCTCCCGTCTTATTTTCTCTACCTCTTTCTCACATACACTCTCCCCCCCTGTCAACTGAATGGCAGATTAGTAATTAAGGACATCGTTATCTTCGCTTTGTGTCCTTCAGCTGGTGGGGTCAGTCCTTCTCACCCTTGAGTCCTTGTCATTAGCTACCAAACGAATGAACACCCGCCCCCGCCCCGTCCTCTCAGTTCCACATCCAGTCGCCTGCTGAACGGTCACTTTGGTTTCTTACAGATAACACAAACACTCAAAGTACGCGTGAAAAACGAAATTCTTTTCACACCCATATTCCCGCGTTTGTAATATTGCCGGTGCACCTTCTCCCTCTGTGTTGTCCCACACACGTTGTCCCCAAGGCCTACACTTCTTCCTGCTTCCAGTGTCGTCCCACCTCTTCCCTTTCCATCCCATCTCCACTGCCTCCGTTCCCACCTGTATTATTTCTCTGTTGGGTTATTTCAGAAGCTTTGTCTCCAATTTTCTCACCTCCTGTTCGCTCCTCTAATCCGCCTACTCCATTACTGTCGGGTTGCTTTTTCCATAATATCAAGTGTAAGTATCACGTCCCTACGTCAATCTTGTAATGGTTCCTGGAAGACTTCAAGAAGAAGTCCATCATTGGCATGACGTCAGTGCCCCCGGGCGCCTCTCTGTGGGTCCCCACCGCCTCACAGGCAGGCGCCGTCAGGCAAGCAGCATCTGTCCTCTGCCCACTGACTCCGGTCCTGAGTTACACGTCTGACTCGCTCATGGGGCTTCTCGAGCAGCGATCCTACCTCTCTTTCTGTCTCTACGGCCTAGCACAAGAGGGCTCCCCAGTAGGCCCAGGATCTCTGATGAGTGACCGAATGAGACAGAACATGGTATTAGATGAGAACTACTTGTGTTTATTTGTCCTCTCATTGGAAGCTCATAAAAGTTTAAAAAAGTGGCATTCTCTAAAAAAACTTAAAGAAATTATTATTTCAAAATTATTTTACTTTTGCTGGAAAATGATTATTTTGAATGTTTTTAAAATACTATATTTGTATTGTGATATGTTTATATAAATTGCAACTTCCCACATGTAATTTGATATATTACTAATTATAAAAGTAAATATATTAAATGCTTCTCAACAAAGAGTCATAAAATTATGTTCAATATTAATAGCTCGTCCATCTCAACTTTTAACCATAAAACTTTTATTCTGTCACTTTAATCTTACACCAAATAGAAAGGTAAACTTTCTACTGCCTTTCTTATGTATAAAGCCCAGATACATATAAGGCACATAAAGAGATGTAAATATATCTGTGGCATTAAAACTTTGTGGGGGAGGGGACTAGAAAAACCAGCTTTGAAAGATTTCATAGTGGTGCAATAATGAAAACAAGGAGAAAAGACTGAGCAGCACTACAATAAAGAAAAACATTTTACAATAATGTTTTGTTTTAATTTTATAGTTATATATAACTATATAACTATTATACATATAAAATTATATAGTTATCTACTTTAAAACTATATCTTTATCACATAGTTCTGTGTACCCTGGCTTGAAATAATCAAACACATTTCTTATTGTGGCTAGTGACAAAAAAAATAATACTGAAAAACCTAGAGACAAAGAGATGAATCAGACATGAATCTTAATGATAAAAGTAGATCTGCCCTGTAGTGACGATCTCTTAGATACGAGCCATTGTGCTAAGCACTCTACAAGCGTTCAGGATTTCACTCAATTCTCTTTACATCTTGGCACTTTGTATAGAAGCAAATTGAGGTTCAGAGACAGGAAATACTCAGTCTTTAAAGGCTCATTGTTGTTGGACCTGCATTTAAGCTCAGATCTGTCTTACTCCAAGGCCCAGGGTCTTTTTACCCCCGTTTGCCTCTTTTTGCCTCAAACGGCGAACAGTATAGTGAACGAGAAACAATGAAAACATGAATACAATATGTAAATGCTATAAAATATATAAAGATAAATAAGTCGTTTTACTTAACAAGCATTTTTTGATCCGTGCGGCATATTGTTTAGCTCTCCAATCTGCTTCATCTATGAAATAAAGCCCCTCCTCCTCCACTTCATGGATGACTTTTGTGATGGTTAAATGAGAAAATGACTTTAAAGGGCTGAAAGTACAGTAGTGGCTCCATTATTTTCCAGCGTCATTAGCTGGATATCACAGAGGGTATCAACCTACTTGAAATACTCTCACAGTCCCATTTCACAAGCCACATTTACAGACCCTGTAAATCCACGCAAGGACAAAGTAAATACAGTAATCGCTGTGGGTATTCAAGGGGCGAAGGTGGCCGCGGTATCTGGACAAGATGAACGCTGCAGAATGACCTTCACCTGAACTCCAAGAAGTGGCTCAGGCTTTGGAGGGGCAGGAAAGAAAGGACCAGGGCCAGCGTGGAAACAAGATACAGAGCAGGAAACGGGCTTGGCCCGCGGGGAGTTCGATGTTGTGAAACGCAGGCTGGGTGGATACGGGCAAACAAAGGAAGAAAGGGCGACGAGGAACCTGCGCTCGGCTCGCTGAGAAGCTCAAAGTCGCTGCCAGCTTCTGGCCGGAGGAATGAGGTCATGCCTGGTAAAGCTTCCTTGAGCGTTTATACAGGAGATGGAGGAACATTTGGCACACGAACACGAGCACCGAGAGCACTGCATGAGAAAGACAGGCAGGGCGGCGGGGGTGCGGGAAGTGAGGGTAGGCGGAGCCCACAGTCCCCCTCGCCCCGAGTCCGGGAGTGTTTGGGTGAGACAGAAGCGCAGGAAGTAATTCACAGACAGGACAAGGGAAAGAAGAGATCGGTGACAACTGCGCGAGGGCGCGCTCTCAAAGCACACGAGCAAACATGGCGAGGAAGAACGTGGACTACAGGGATTGACTAAAGCTTCGGTTTTGCACCAGGGATAGCTAATAGAATTATAAACACAGCGATATAAGCTAGATTTAGATGAACTATCATAACTCTCTGATAGGGTCAGGCCTTGACCAGCTGCGTGCTCGGAAGGGCAGCGCGGCAGCGAGGCAGGCGGAGAGCGCCCCTGCCCCGTGGGTGGAGGTGCGCGTGCACGCCGGCAGGGGGCGGCCGTCGCGGCTTGCGTCTGCACCGATTTGTCCACTGACGCCGGTGTTTTTTCTTTCTCAGCTCAAGGAGGACAGATCTGTCACTCCCACTAGGCTCCCCTCAGGTCGGTGGACAGAGGAGGCTCCGATCTGCCCAAGTAAAGCAGCACAGACTCAACAGGGAAAAAACTGCCACTCATGGATCACAGTTATTGCCAAGTCTCCTGAAACACTGGTTTAAAAAAAAATTTTTTTGTATTGTAAGCGTGTGCCCATCAGTTTGTATATGCTTTTGTTACAAATGGGGGGCGTGTGTAGTTTTATTCACCGGCACACTTCCTACGCACCTGGCATCCTAAAGAACAAAGAGGGGGCTGCCTGTCTGGGCACAGAAGGCCGGGCCTTCTGCGGTGGCAAAGCGTAACGGTCCTCACAAACGACGGGCAGGGTGAGCCCCGCATCCACTATCCGGGTCCTCCTCTCTCATCGAATGAAGCACCGGCCACCGTTTACCCAACAGAAAAGTAGGGCAGGGAGGAAATCTGAGTAACACGTATTACTTTGAATGTTATTTTGAAGTAATAGTAAAATTCTTTCAAGTAATTAATCAATATGCAATCTCTGCTGAAACAAAAAGATGGATATATAGAGAAGATATCATTGAGATTGAAGAAGAGTGACCGGATGTAGAAGTGAAACTATTTATATTTATTTTTTGTTTTGAACCAAAATCGTAACGCTTAAGCATTTTTAGCTTTAACATGACTTATGAGTTGGCACATCTGATTTCACGAGTGTTGTACCTAAATTGCTGAGACTAAGGATATTGGAAAGCTGCGCGTGATTCCATAGAAATACTGCTTTTATTTTGTGAACTACTGTGTCTATCAAGTGGGATTCCCTGTTTCAGTTTACTGTTATTTTCCTGGTGCACTATGAAATGTCTTCTTTTGTGTTTGACGCAACGTATATCAGAGCAGACTTCACAAAACTTCTGGGAATAAATTGCGTTAAATGGAGCATCGTTTTCTATTAGCAGAGGACGCAGAGAAAAGAAGTTGGATTCATACTCACTGCGGCAGTGTTGCTGGCAGGGAACGTCTAATAATTGAGTGGACTTGTCTGTAAGCGTCCAGCTTAGACATGCACCGGCAGGAAGTGTGATTGGCAAAGCTGACTGTTACTGGTTTGGGGCCTTGAGAGAGAGGCACTGTAATTTCAAACAACTACAAAGAAGGGACAAAAAGAAGAACAAATTATACAGATGCTGTACAGCATTTTACGGTGAATGCTGGAGTCCAAAAAGAGAGAGATTAGCTCGTCATGATTAGGTAGAGTGCTGCATAACACATGCAGGACATAAAGTTTTACGTTAACAACGCAAAATCTGTTTTGCTTCTAATCGATATCGTTTATCAGATTAATCAACAGTCCCTAGGCTTATCTCATGTCCCTGTTATAAAACACATTAGAATTTCGACAACCCACTAATTATTACAGAGCAGAGATGTACCAGACCAATGTGTTCAGGCAAAAAGAACTGTTTCAGAGTCTTCGGTTATTCCGGGGGCTGAACAAGTAGCACCGATATACATTTCTTTGTGATCTAAGAGCAACGCTGTTGCCCACCTAGAAATGTTTGGTTAAGTCTTGTTGTATATAAACTGAACACATAACATAAAACACATAGGTGCACAATTGGTTTTCATTGCAAATTAAATCTCTACCTTAGGGTAGTTTTACATGTATTTGCGATCTCTTGTGAATTTATTATGTTGAAAAGAAAAAAAAACCCCATCCATTATTGACTAGATAAAGCTTTGTTTCTGCTGTTTTGACAAAGGTATTAGGAAAATAATAAGCTTAACGCACAGTAGGACATTTTACATGATTGTGGGTTAGAGTCTCAAAAGCTAGTTTAGCCAAAGTCTCATTCTGAATATCTTATCTGTGGAGAATGTCAGTTCTCTTCCTTCTACAAAAACAATGCTTTAAAGGTTTAAATTGAAAATTTAAGTTAAACGTCCAAATACATTAGTCATTGAGTAAACTTGAGTGGATTTAAAGTCCCAAGGCTCTCAGAATCTAAATTATAATCAGTAACAATGGTAAAAATAAAACCCTGGCCAGTGGCTGCTTGATGAGGTCGGCCTGTAGCGATGTAGCTGCAGCCGGACCGTGTGTTGTTTGCTACTTTTACGGCAGTCTGAGCGGCACAGAAGACATGACACTCTCCAGAGCCTTGGGGTTTGGCGTCGCTGTAACCTCATACCAACAGTTGAAGATCACTGAAAACACTCAGGGAACAGAATTGCTCGCCACGTTGTCCATACTATGGAGAGATTTACTCAAACAAGGTTGAAGAAGGAAATACAGAAATACCTAAATTATAAAATGGGGATGTTCTTCTCTTAAAGTATATTCCTTTCAAATGTCAGCTACTTTCTTAGGCCTCAGTGCCTTGGGAGGGAGGGGCACAAGGTCACACCCAGACACGACACTTTGATTAACAACCCCACTTAGAAGTTGTGGGAACTTGCCAAGTCATTTAACTGCTGGAAGCTGAAGATTTTATGTGACCCCCTCACTTTATGACACTGTTACAAGAATTACATAATCTAATACATATGAATGTGATATACATATTTGTTATTTTATAGATGTGGGTTTTAACATTGCTTGCATATATTCTCTGGTTTCTAGCTATACGCCAGGATACTGTCTGTTTTACAGAGATAACTTCAATATATGACCTCAAGGTAGCCCAGCATTATGATTTTGACCAGTTTCTTCTCTAAAAGACATATGTTTATGCAGTTTGGATAAAAACTCATTAGGTGAAATGTCACATTGGCAGAAACCCTTTATACTACATATAACTATTTTAAGAAAGAGAATTCTGCAGTGCCCATAAATGGTACGGTTTTGGTACTTCTTATGACACCCGTGGACCCTACCTGAGTAACTAGAGTTATGAAACAAACAGGAAGTGGCTGAGAAAGTAAGCCGCCTCCAATTTGTTCCGTATTTAACTTTTACAAATTACTCAAGCTCTGGGACAGTGGGAACAGTAGAAAGATGTGCAGCGCAGCTCACAAAGGTTAGATTTTTATGTCTAGTAGGCGGGTAGGTATTTGTGCCTGGAGCTTAGAAGAGCCATTTAAAAATCATCCATATTAGTGTTGCGATTGAAGTTGCACTGATAAGATTACCTGGCAAGGTCATAAAATATCTAATCACAGAAACCTGGGGACAGGAACATTTAAGGGGGGAAAAGAAAGCAGATGAGCTGTTAAATATGCTTGGGGATACACGTGTCCGCAGAGACTGAGAGGAGAGCTTCAGAAAGGCATCTGTGGTCACAGGGCCCAGGGCCTCGGGGACAGCAAGATCGGAAGGTCGGAGTGGAGACAACGGGGCACGAGGAGTGGACCTGAGGCCTGGGGTGGGGGTGGGGGCTGGGGGGGACAGCGGCTGCACAGCAGGGGAGGGACAGGAGAGGCCCCACATGACCACAGGGAAAGGGCTCCAACGGCCCCGGCCGCAGGGGACACTGGCTTACAGAAGGCACGCAGTCTTTGCAGGATCCGTCAATGTCTCAAGTGACGCGAGGCAGGACAGAGCCCCAGAGAGGAGGATGAGACGCACCTTGAGATAAGGGCTGCCGAGGGGGGCGGGGGAGGGGGGCGAAGGGAGGGCTTCCCGCCTCTGAGGGCCGCCAGGCCAGACCCCGCCTCCCGGCCTCCAGGCCTGCAGGCTGGACCCCAGGCTAGAGCTCAGATCTGGCCGGGTGAGTGACGCGGCCACTCCCAGGGCCTATGTCCACAGTCAGGACTCCCCGTCAGTATCAGCACCTGAGGCTGCGACGAATTAGCTCTAGTGAGGTGAAGGTCAGTTAAATGCCCAGGACAGAAGCATCTTCCTAGACAATAAGCCTGGTTCTATTCTTCCAAAGGGCAGAAGAGATTTGTGCTGGCAGACACACAACTGAAAAGATAAAGGGGCAAGTAAAGAGGGATTTAAAAGAAAAATCACTGTTTAGAGAAGTGTTTTATTTCCTGTAACTTAAAGAAATCATATGGCTGAAAACTACAGTACAGCCTGGGAGAAAAATGTATGTGTAGCTTAGCTAATTAAAAAAAAAATTTAAATGATTGATATTTCATTTCTCTTGAGTCTAAGGAGGCAACTGACCAGCTGACTTCAGTTAATTGGATCAAAAAATAATAATAAATAGGTCAAAACATCAAAGTAAAAAAAACGTGCTTTTCCTGAAACACTTCCACCTCCAAATTTTGACCTGAGTTTTTCAGGTAGTTCATTTAATTCTCTACTTGACTGTGCCAATGTGGAAAACAGAGAGGGGCCCAAAGAAAGATGCCTTTGACCAAGATTAAAAGCAGGAAAATTCTTAATAATTGTTTAATAATTGAGTTGTATTTGTGTGTCAGTTTCAGACAAACCGGGGACAGGGGAGCGGGTGCCACGGACGGGGAGGCCCCGGCAGCCCGGCCGGCTCCGGACCAGCGAAGGGCCTCTGCCGGCTTCTCTCTGCGCTTCTCTTAGGCGCCCGCGCCGGGGGACAGCTTTCGTTTAGCGGGGCTACATCATCACCGCCTTCACCACAAGTGCAGCGGTTCTGTGCCCTTGACCCGACCAGTGTGGGTTTTATGTAGCTATAGTTCATGCCTATGCGACCAAGAATGTGCATGTGCCTTTTTCCTAATCAGATAATATGTGCTTTACGACGTAAACTTTTTTGAACTAAAAATATTAATAATTAGAATCACATTATAAACTCACATGCCGCCCCCCCCCCCAAATAAATTAGTATACTTTTAAAATAACTGGCAACTTCCCTTCTCTAGAATAACCAAGGGAATAATCTCAGAAACAGGCAGACATTAATTAAGAGTCCTGAATTTGCAATTTAGTCCTGCCATCACTTGGAAAAATTATCCAACTGCCCTTGGCCTCCATTTCATTATAAAACAGGGACAATAATATGGTGATTTCATAGTTGGGCTGTTTGGATTCCCCTCGTCTTCCCCATTCGCCCTGAAGACTGAGTTGCATCTTTGGTAGATGAATTACACATTGTAAAATTTTTGTTTGAAATTATTGCTTGTCTAGTTCTCAGTAACTGTTTATTGAGAGCCTCTAAGAGGCCATGTGCCAGGTGCCTTGCTAGACTGTCAAGAAAAAGGCATCAGTCAGTTATTGCAACTTATAGGCAGGCAAAATTAACAATGAGAGTGAACTAGAAAACACTTCATATGTTATGATGCTATGTTAGAATTTTCAAAACATCATCTAGTTTACCACAAACGCTGGCAGTGAGCAACAGCCTGCAGCGTAACTTTCTCCATTATGTGAAGAGCTGAATCAACACAGTTACTATAGTTTTCTCTCCAAGAGTCAGGGTCTATCCGCACACATTAGTGTTTGAGGCAATTAATGGATTCTTTGTGTTTTAATAAAACAACAATTCTTACGCTATTGTCAGACTATGTGGGGCTTTAATGTGTGCACAACACTATTTTCTATTTTAGACTGATGCTCCTCGAATGCAAAGTTCATGTATTATGTGCAGCGTTAGCTAATACTATGTATATATGTGTACTTAGTCGACATGGATTGGTGAGGACAATCTTAATCTGATAGTTTGAACTTGATGATTTTCCTAAAATAGCTTTGTGCTGTAAAGTGAATTGTTCTTGGACAATAAGATGTTAACACGTACCTAACTTAGGGTATCAAAAATTATAAAATTCATTATGGTGACTGATGCTAGTCTATTAGTATATGTCTATTTAATGAGTTGCTGCTTTTAATGATCAAAAGGACTTATATAAAGGGGGCATTTAAGCAAGGCTGGAAACTGGAAAAAAAATCCGGCTGTGCACTCTGTAAAGCTGTAATTAAAAAAGGAAGTGGCAGTCATTTCCAACTGAGAGCTTCCCAGTGGCTATCAACTGGAATTTTTTAATAAGAATATTTAATAGTCAATTCTCACCAACAAGAATGAACTTCAAATAAAGCCACTTTTTGAAACAATAGGCTGTTTACCCAGCGTAGCAACAGTTGTAAAGCAACAGTTCCCATTTCTACTTATCTTGCCGCCTATTCATGAAAAGAGGTGCAGAACTTCCTTACTGAGAAGATCCTGGATTAACTCCATACAAAGAGGCGCCCCCAAAATGCCTCCCTTTACACCCTCACACCC